CCCTACAATGGGATCCTATGCAGCAATTAAAAAGCATGCTGTTGGCTGGGCAAGGTGGCTCATGCCTGTAATCCCAGCACTTTGGGAGGCCGAGACGGGTGGATCACCTGAGGTCAGGAGTTCGAGACCAACTTGACCAACAGAAACCTCATCTCTACTAAAAATAGAAAATTAGCTGGACATGGTGGCACATGCCTGTAATCCCAGCTACTCGGGAGGCTGGGGCAGGAGAATCACTTGAAGCTGGGAGGGGGAGGTTTCGGTGAGCCGAGATCATGCCATTGGACTCCAGCCTGGGCAACAAGAGTGAGACTCTGTCTCAAAAAAAAAAAAAAAAAAAAAAAAAGCATGCTGTTGCTGGGCTTAGTGGCTCAAGCCTGTAACCCTAGCACTTTGGGAGGCCAAGGCAAGGCAGATCACTTGAGCCCAGGAGTTCGAGACCAGCCTAGGCAACACTGCAAGACCCAATCTCTACAAAGAAATACAAAATTAGCCAAGTGTGGTAGTGCAAGCCTGTAGTCCCAGCTACTCAGGAGCCTGAGCTGGGAGGATCACCTGAGCCCTCGAGGTTGAGGTGCAGTGAGCTGTGATCATACCACTCCAGACTGGGTGACAGTGAGACAAAAAAAAAAGCATGCTGTCCATTTCTACATAATCGGCATGGAGAGACGTCTGCCGCACACACTGCTAAGCAAAGAGGCTGCTTACCAAACAGTGCATATAATAATAGCCCAAGTTTAAAAAAAATGTTTTTGGCAGAGAAAACAAGTCTGGAAGGACCCATACCTTGTGGCTGGCAGGGGGTGGGAGGCTTACAAGTGGTCTTACTTCCCTGGTCCTGTTTATTGCTTGGATGGGGGGTGTGATGCATGAGCATGACTTTTATAATTAGGCAGAACAATAACACTTGTTCAAAAGAGAACAAGGTGAATCGGAGAGCTGGAGATGGGAAAGGAGGTAGCTGGAAAGCATGGGAGAAAGCAGCAGGAGGGGGTGCGGGCAGATGCTACAGAGGGTGGGAGGGAGCCCTGGAGTAAGAGGGAGGTAGGGAACTAGCTGGGTGCCAAGGCCAGACAGGACCAGTCGGCAGGGAGCCCCAGGGACAGGGAGGGAGGGTGGGAATAGGAAGAGCCGAGCGTCCTCATCCCCTGCCCACTGGCTCTGGCTGGCTGGGCCCAAGCTGCTGACCGACCTTGCTGGGCTTCTCCTAGGGTGTCCACCCTAACAATACTGCTTATCCCAGGAGGAGCCCCTCAGGAACTTTTCCATCTCCCCGACTCCAGGACCACTTCATGGATTTCATTTTTTTACAAATTAAAACTGTTTCTTCCCCACCCCTGCAGGTGGGTTTGCAATTTGCTGTGCCGGAATCACACTAGGGAAGAGAAGTCCTTGGGGACAGGGTCTTTAATAACTTCTGCTGCCCAGGGAATTGACTGCAGGGCCTGAAGGCTTAAGTGGGGGAGCTGGTGTGTGTTCCTGCCTGTGGCCAGGGCTGTGGGGTGGGGGTGCTGTTCATAGAATGAGGAGGACATCTACATGCAACTAGCCCCCCCCCCAAGGGAAGTCCCTCAGTCCCAGAATATCAGTGCCTTAGGCCCTGGTCACCTGGGGTGCACAGGATGGAGCCTAAGCCCCCAAGGGCTCTTCAACCTCATGGCAGGGTGCAGAGAGAGACACGTTGCCTGGGACATATTGCCTGAGCCAGCTCTGGACTTTCTCAGTGCCTCTGCTTCCCCACATATAAAAACAAAAGGGTAGGATGCAATGAAATTTCCAATCTCTTAATCCCAGCGGTCTGTGACATGCTTTCTCAGGCTCTCACCGAGCTTTTGTGGGTTTTTTTTTTTTAATTGTTTTTGGCTTTTTCCTTTTTTTGGAGACAGAGTTTCACTCTTGTCACCCAGGCTGGAGTGCAGTGGTACAATCTCAGCTCACTACAACCTCCACCTCCAGGGTTCAAGCAATAATGCCTCAGCTCCGAGTAGCTGGGATTACCGACACGCGCCACCATGATCAGTGAATTTTTTTTTTTTTTTTTTTTTTTTTATTTTTAGTAGAGACGGGGTTTCACCATGCTGGCCAGGCTGGTCTCGAGTTCCTGACCTCAGGTGATCTGCCTGCCTTGGCCTCCCAAAGTGCTGGAATTACAGGTGTGAGCCACCGCACCTGGCCAATTTTGTGAGATTTTTTACCAATTTTTGGAATTTAAAAATAGAGTTCACATAAAAATCCAGATTCCAAACAATCTGCAACCCTCATTCCTGCTGGGCAACCACTGGAAGAAGCCAATGGAGACTGCCCCCAAAGACAGGCAGAGCTTCCCAATTTTGCTGTAGCGTCTGCCACCTGACTAGCCTCCCAGCCCCTTCTCCAGCTCCTGCGGGCATGAGTTTGCATCACCCCCCACACATGCATGTGCCCATTTTCCTACTCACTGAATGAGCAAAAGCCACAGGCTTTTGAGTCAACCTAGTTATGTCCAAATCCCAGCTCTAACTCTCGAGACCTTAGCAAGTCATTTGACTTCTGCGCCTCATCTGTAAAACGGGTATTGTAAGAGAACGCGTCTTATGCAGGGCTGTCATACAGATTAAGGCAATGCATGCAAAGCCCTTAGCGCTGTGCCTGGCACACAGCGAGCACTCAATCAGTGTGGGCTCTTAGCAGTGTCACTGTGCACAACCCTAGCTTGGAATGGGGCACACAGTAGGACCACAGCCGATGTTTAAGAAGGACGTACTCAAGACGAGGATGAGACCTGGGGATGGATGACGTTGCCGAGTAGAGGCTTCAGGAGGCTCAGGCTGATGGGGCCAAGGGAAGAAAGGCCTCCTCTCCCAAGTGTGGGCGGGTGTGGAGCGACTCAGCAAACGCAACTTCACTCAGGGCGTCCAAGCCGCCGCTAGGGTCTTTGAGCGTTACCTTGGCGCCACCTTCCGGCTGATGCGCGCCTCACAGCCACCCCTCCGTCCACGTCCCGGGGAAGACCCTACACCCTGAAGAGGTTGGTCCTTTCCACTATCTTCAGAACTGGCAGGATCCTTTGAACTCCTAGGGACCCAGTCCTTCAACAAGCATCCGGGGACAAAAGCCCAGAACTGAGAGTAACTTTCCTGAGGCCACACAGAAAGCTCCTGGCCAATCTCCATTTAGAACCAGAACTTGTTAACGCTGCCAAGAATAACCACGTCTTCCCTTCATTAGGGACGCTAAGAAAAACAAAATTGCACGCTGTTGTGCACGGCTCTGCTGATTCTCAGGGGGAACATCTCCCAGGAGTAGATCCTGAGCCTAGGGATGAACGCCGGTTGTTTGTTTGGGGTTGAACCCGGGAAGCACCAGTGGTGGAGGGGGGCAAGAGACTGGGAAAGGATGGGAATCCATGCAGAGCGCCGTCTTTAGGCTCCGTGGCTCAGTCCCTCCAGGGAGCCTCGGAGACGCTGTAGAACACAGCTCACGTTTGTCCCTCCCAAGGGCGAGGGAGCTTGAGTATTTATCCACCCACTTTCAACCCCGGCTGGCTGAGCGTACTTCGGGGAATCAACGCCCCCATCTACAGCTTACCTGGCCTTCCTCGGCACCAAGCGTGTTTTCAAGGCCTGGAAAATCCCTGAGGCAAGTGATTCCCAGCTTGCAGTCAGAAACTGGCTGTTTACACAGTATAGAAATATAAACGCAGGCCCGTCGCGGTGCTCACACCTGTAAAATTCCAGCACTTTGGGAGGCCAAGGCGGGAGGATTACTTGAGGTGAGGAGTTCAAGACCAACCTGGACAACACGGTAAAACCACCGTCTCTACTAAAACTTCAAAAAATTAGGCAGTCGTGGTGGCACACGCCTATAGTCCCAGCTACTCAGGAGGCTGAGGCAGGAGAGTCGCTTGAACTAAGGAGGTGTGGAGGTTGCAGTGAGCTGGGGTGGCACTACTGCACTTCAGCCTGGGCAACAGAGCAAGACAATGCCTCAAAAAAAGAAAGAAAGAAATTTGAAAGCAGTAGTTCCCCCAAGTGAGAGCCCCGGAGCAGCGGTATTAATACCACTTGGGACGATTGTTAGAACGCAGATGCTTGATCTCCATCCCAGACCTACGGAATCAGAAACACAGGAAGTGGGCCCCGCAGTCTTTAACAAGAACCACCTGCAAGTAGTTCAGATACACATTTAAGTTTTGTTGTTGTTGTTATTGTTGTTGAGACAGAGTCTCTCTCTGTCACACAGGTTGGAGTGCAGTGGCATGATCTTGGCTCACTGCAACCTCCAGCTCCTGGGTTCAAATGATTCTCCTGCCTCAGCCTCCCAAGTAGCTGAGATTACAGGCACCTGCCACCATGCCCAGCTAATTTTTGTATTTTTAGTAGAGATGGGTTTTTGCCATGTTGGCCAGGCTGATCTTGAACTCCTGACCTTAGGTGATCTGCCCGCCTTGGCTTCCCAGAGGGCTGGGATTACAGCCATGAGCCGCCATACCCAACCCACACTCAAATTTGAAAAGCTCTGACCTAGGAGATAATATAGGAGGCATCAATAGCATCTGCTGCGGCTTTTGTCCCATTTGTCAGATAAGGAAACTGAGAAGTGAATTGGTGAAAGTGACTCATCCAAGGTCACACTGATGATAGGTAGCACATGGGTCTTTGGTCTCTTTCCACCATACCACCCCAGAAGTGAACAACACTTGTGCTTAGGCTCTAGGTAGGAGATGAGAATTAGGTCCCAAAGTTCCCCTTCCCTGCCATCACCACTTTGCTCCACTTTCTAAACCAAAGGCCTCCACCTGGTGCATCCAAATGGTTCTTAAAGCGCTTCTGGGAAGACTGCCAGGCCAGGTGCCCCTCTCTTGGCTCCCAGCTGCCCTCACAGCCTCCATTGGGATGATCCCTCTCCACATCTCCCCTTGCCCCCCATCATCCCTCACCCACCAGCCAGCAGGACGTGTTGGGGAAATCCAAAGCAGTTTCTTCCCTGGGAAAGGTTGAGACCCCTGGGTTAAACCTCACCTCGAACCTTTGTGCCGGGTTCTGCAGGGTACTTTGCATTGCTCTTCCTTCTCCTCCTTGTCCTCCACCCTTCCTCCCCTCCCCCCTCCCCTCCCCTCCCCTCCCCTCTGCTCCCTCTCCATCTGCCGTTCCTCCTGGCTAGGCTCCCCCTCAGTTGGCTCAGCAGGAAAAGAGAACAGGATGGTTTATTTTTATCCTGAGATACTGCTGGGGGGGAAGGGGATACCATCTGACCAAGAAGCAGCAGCTCCTGCAGCCACAGGGAGGTCAAAATGCAGTGGGAGACCCAGGATCTCCCTGGGAAGGAGCTACAGATGTCGGTTCCAGAGAGCAGGCAAATCTGGGAGGAGCTCAGGACCCAAAGTGCGGAGCTCTGAGCATGGCACCACCAGACACTGCTGTGTGACTGCAGGAAAGTCACTTTGCCTCTCTGGACCTCCATTTCCACCTCCGTAAAAGACGGGGGCATGCGGGCCTGCCCGGCCTGGGAAGGCTATTTTTGTGACCATGAATCAAATGGGAAGAGCACTTTGTAACCTCGATGCCACATGTGAGCACCCACGGAAACCACCCTGGAGAGGCAGCAACCTGGGACATTCTCATGGATCTACAGAAAATGCCCTCATTCCTGAGCCTGGCAGCAGGTTAAACAGCTCATGTCACCCAGCATGTTCGCCCCCGTTTTTCTTTTTACATGTTTGATGATTTTTTAAATTACATAAGCATTACGTGAATTCACTCTCCTTTTGGGAAAAAAAATGAAGCATTATGGGAAAACCAAATCTCCCTTTAACCAACCCTCCCCCAGCCCCTTCTTCCCCACCCCAGACGTCACCACTCTTCGAGCTGTGGGTTTTCTGTGTATCCTTCCAGAACACTTGTTATACCAATATATGATGTATATTATATTTATACATATAGCCATAGGCAACATACATACATAAAAGCATGTACTTTTTTTTTAAAGGTTTCATACCCATCATTCAGCAACACACTTTTTTCCTTACTCGACAGTGTTTTTGAGACTCTGTTGTATAAACATATTCCAATTTTATTTAGCTCAGGACCCAAAGTGCGGGTTTCCTGCTGATGGACAGTTAAGCAGCATCCCGTTGTTTACTATCACAAACAACGCTGCAGTGGGCATCCATGTATGTGGCTTCCTGTGTGCAGGGAAGCCACTACGACGCCTCTCGGGGCACCAAACTGCTGGATCGGAAGGCCTGGTGGATATTGCTATATCACAGCCCCCACCACCACCACCAAAGTTCTGCCTCTGTCTTTAATACAAGTTGGGAGACTGGATGGGCTCAAGGGATGAAGTGAGAGGTTCTTCAAGGTGAAGTGTTTCTGCATCCGCTGTTAAGTCTCCTGTCTCAACATGCAGGGATGCAAGCAGGAGGGAGGAGCTGTGCCCAGTCAGTGCCAGTCCCTCACCCTCATGTCACAGCAGCAGTAGCACCAGGCTCTCTGGCAAGGTGCCTGTTTGCCCACATGGCCACACTCCTGGGTGCGTCCAGCTTCACTGTCTCTCCTGCACTGAGATGCGACTCTCTTTACCATCCTCCTGGGCAACTGGTTGACATCCATGTAAAGTCTCCTGCACTGGAGGGGTAGGGTTGGGGCCAGGAAGATCGTCTATCTCCTGGGGAATCTGCTTGGTGCAGGGGGCCTGGGGAGGCAAGGTGTGAGGTCACCCCAGCAACAGGGGCAGCTGTGCCTCTGAGGAGCCCCTCCCTGGGAAGTGGATCCCCTCCCCAAGCTCTTTCCCTTTCCCAGATGGCAGGTCAGTGCCAATTCCTCGGGTACCTCCTGCCCCCTGCTGGCCACACCAAGGGTGAGGAGGAGCTTCCAGAGTGGGAGTCAGTGAGCTTACGGGGCTGCTACATTTGCTCCCACCCATCTGACCTAGCCCCAAGACCCAAAGATGCAGCTCCCCACGTGTTGAATGTCAGGAAAGGCATGGAGAACAGCCAGTGTTAGGCTCTGCCAGGGGTACCAGGGGCAGTTCTGCGGAGATTGAACTCTGGATGGAAGGAGCATGGTGGGTGGGGGTGAGAGTCCCCAATTCTGCTGCCACCCCCCTGGCGGCAGGGACAGACTCTGAATCAGTTTTACTGCCCTATAGGTAACCATGAGGCCATCTTTCCAGTTTGCCAAAACTCTGTCCCGGTCTCAGGGATGACCTACCTTATCCTGTGGCTTCCTGTCCACCTTTTCTAGAGAAAAAGAAAATGAAAGGGGAGTTGGAGAGGCTAGATCGGTAAACAGGTGGTCCCCACTCCCTTCCCCATCACCTCCCCACCTGGGGACTCACTGATAAAGACCAGCACCAGGAGGATGGCAAACAGGATCCCCAACATGATGGGGATCACCACCAGGAGTCTCAGCCGATTCTGGGGACCTGGAGAAATCAGGACTTCGGCATGCACCCCCCGACCTGCAGTTTCTCCCCACCCCAAACCTGCTGTGACATTTCAGACTCCAGAATCCTCCAGTGTCAGAGCTCATCTACATCAAAGGGTTCAAACCGTGGCCCTTGGGGAAACGTGGCTGGCAGATGTCTTTAAAGGAACCAGAACATTTTTTAATGTTTGGAAATATTTGCCGGCATTTTAAAACTGGGAGATCACCTATTAAAACTAGACATCTGATTTCTCTTACAAACTGGGAAGACCAGGTTTCAGTGGGCAGCCTCCCCACCTGGGAACCATCAGCAAGAAGCAAGTAGCAGCCGTGGCTGTCACCACCTGCTTACCACGCTCCCCATCACTCCCTGCTCTCTGTCCAGTGCTGAAGTCTAGCATGATTCATGTCAGCATGTTGCTTTTGGTATAGAAGAGTGGAGGGGAAAGGTAAAGTATTTCTCGTGCCTGGTTTTTTTTTTCTAAGTAGAAAATAAAAGACCAAAAGGCAGGGCAGCGACTAGGGTGAGGCAAGGAATGAAATTGTTTCAGGACAAAATTGAAAAGGACGACCCAAAAACTCAGGCATCAAGATAAGTACTCTTTTCATGCCATATTTTGGAAATCATCAGGCAGACACCAAGTCAGCAAACTACGGCCTGCAGGCTGGCTGCCTATTCATTTTATTGGAACCAGAGCCAGGATTAGGGTGAGGCAAGAGAGGCAGAGTCATGCAAACACAGGGTTGGGTCCTGTTCTTTATTTAAAATGTTGCTATCTTGCTCATCGTGGATTTCTTTGCATTAATTTTTATTTTTAAAAATATTGCATCAAAATGAATCTACCAATAAATAATTTAAAAGATGAATCTACCTTGATTATTACACTTTTAAGGCACCTTCTTAAATATTGTGCTGAAGGGCAAGTGCCATGCTCACCTCATTCTAGTCCCAGCCCTAGGAATAGGAAAGTAAATTTTAAGAGAAAGCAAAGGGAATGTATTTTTCTTACCCCTGACCTTTTTCACTGATTAACATTATCTGATCTGTGCTGTAGGCCAACCTTCTCCCTCTAAAATCAAAATCTACCAAGGGAGGTGCTGTTATCCCATTATACAGATGAAGAAACTGAGGCTAAGAGAGGAGAAGTGATTTGCCCAGGCTCCCAAGGTAAGTGGCAGAGCTGTGATACCACACCCCCAAACTGCCTCCCCTCCCCCTTTTCTCATCCAGTGTCCCTGTGTGCCTCCGCCTCCCCTTTCAGCCCCCACCTTCCCAGGCTGTCTCTGGGGCCCATTTTCCAGGACTCACCACAGACAGCATCAGTCTTGTCTGTTCCTGCCTGTTGCTCAGCCAGGCCTTTGGTCTCACACCTACGCACACACATGTGCACAAATGCGCACGTACACACACACAGAGAGAGAGAGAGAGAGAGAAAGAGAGAGAGAGAGAGAGAGAGAGATACTAAGTTTCCACAAGCATAAGATTTCCAACTCTAGAGCAAGTCAGTCAACAATCAACAAATCTAGGTTCACTGAGCACACAGTATGTGCCACATCCTATGCTGGTTATTATAGGAATGACACACACTCTGTCCTCACAGAACTTAAAAGTGCAGAGAAAAGATTATTGCACATCTTGAAGGAGTAATAAATAGGGGAGTCTATAATGAGTGCCAAGCTTTGTGATATAGGTAGGCTTAAGTGAGATGGGAATGGTTCAGAGGAGGCAGAATCCACCATGGCTGGAATGGAGAGATGATGAGTTCAGTTTAAGACAGGGTTACTCAATCTCAGCACCAGTGACATTTGGGCTGGATCATTCTTTGGGGGGCGGGGGCTGCCCTATGTATTGCAGATGTTCAGCAGCATCCCTGGCCTTTATCTGTCAGATCCCTGTAGCATCCCTGTCTCCATTTGTGACAAATGAAATGTGTCCAGACATTGGCAAACGTTCCACAGGGAGCCCCCTTTTGAAAACCTCCCGTTTAAGGGTCTTCCGGAAAGGCTTCCCTGCAGACAAAAGACCTAAGTGGGCCAGCTACGTGGGACGATGTGATGGGGAAATCAGGCAGGTGGCATGCAGGACGGTGTTAGGGACCTATGGAAAATTGGGTCTTTAGAACCAGATCACTGGCAGGTGTGATGTTTTCGACTGGATTCACCTGGTCAGTCTCATCAGCATCCAACCAGAGGACTTCACTAGTGAGAGGATTCAGCTGCTTAGAGAGCTCAGAGGCGGAGAAATTACAGAAGAGTGGCCAGCTAGGAGGCACAGCAAGCATCTAGATATGAGATGATGAAGACCTGGTCCAGGGTGGCCCCAGGAGTGGAGCAGGATGGACACAGGCCATTGCAAAGGAAAAATTATCTAAGGTAGGAGAAAAAGAGAGACGCTTTGAAGAAAGCAAGTCTTACATGAGTAGAGCATTCAGTTTACAACACACTTTACATGCCTTTAGCTCAAGCCTTGTGAAATGATGGTCATTCCCATTTTCCAGATGAGGACACTGAGGCTCAGTGAGGCTCACACACTTACTGAGCTGTAATCAGATTTGTAAGCCAGTGCACTGATTCTATAAATACTATGCCACTAGTGCCTCCAGTAGTCGGTCAACATTTATCAGTAAAAATTTATACAGCACCTATTATGCATGAGGTACTGTTCTAGGTATAGGGAATGTATCAGTGAAAGAAAAAAAAAAAAAAGGCCAAGTCTCTACATTTAAAGAATATGCAATATTCTAGGGAAAGGCTGACAGTTAACAAATAAAGTGTATATGGTATACTCCTATTTGTGCGAAAGTAAAAGGAGGGAGTGTGTGTGTGTGTGTTGGTTTATTTATATGTAGAATCTCTGGAAGGATATGCAAGGAACAATGGCTGCCTCCAGAGAGAACTGGGAGGCGAAGGGGCAGGGATGCGAGAAAGACACGGAGACATCACTTTGGATCTTCTATGCTTTCTGTCCCATATGTCTATCTTGCCCATTTTTAAAAATGAAAAGCAAAAAGTCAATGGGGCAGGTATTTGTTTTTTGAGACCGAATGTTGCTCTGTTGCCTAGGCTGAAGTGCAGTAGCACAATCTCAGCTCACTGCAACCTCCACCTCCCAGATTCAAGCAATTCTCCTGCCTCAGCCTCCTGAGTAGCTGGGATTACAGGTGCCCACCACCACACCCAGCTAATTTTTTTGTATTTGATGAGATGGGATTTCACCATGTTGACCTGGCTGTTCTTAAATTCCTGACCTCAAGTGATCCATCCACCTCAGCCTTCCAAAGTGCTGGGATTACAGATGTGAGCCATCACAGCTGGCCTGGGGCAGGTGTTTAAGGTATGCCAGGCAGATGAGTTTGATGGAAGAGAATGAACAGTGTGGTCAAAGGATTGCAAGTATGCACCTACGCACAGACATGTGCACAAATGCACACACACAGGGAAGAGATCAGGAAATGCAGCAGGAAGGGCAGGTGCCATGCTAAGAAGTCTGGGTTCCAACAGAGACACAGGAACCATCTCAAATAGGAGAGTGTCATGATCTGAAAGAAACTGTAGAATGCTCACGTTGGCAAGAGGATGGAGAGAGAACCAGCTGAGGGGAGAAACCAGAGGCAGGGAGGTCAGGAAGCAGCAAAGGCATCACCCGGACCACAGTGATGAGGTCCAAACTAAAGCAACAGTGAAGATGGTGAGTAAGTTCCCAAAACATGTAGACAGCCAGAGGGCAGGATCTGGTGCAGGTTTGGTGCTAGAGGTAAGACAGGGACTCCCTCAGAGTGAGCATCCAGAACCCAGAAAGCCCTAGAAAGTCAGGTAAGCTGAAAGCAAGAGGAGGAAAACTGAGGAGAAGCAGGAGGGGTAGAAGGAAAGCTAAAAGAAGTGTCCTAATACCCCCAAGATGTGAGGCTCTCATGAAGCAAGAGATCACCAGTGTCTATTACCTCTAAAAGAGAGCAGGCAAGAAAAATGCAGACATGTGCCCATCTGGTTGGCCATGAGGCCACTCTGCAGATGCTTCACAAGTGCATGAGTATGTGTGGACCTCTGGGAGTGGGTACAGGACAGGTGGCTGGAGAGAACAGAGGCAGCTCTATGCCATTCTTAGAGCAGGAAACACAAGAGATGAGAGCTTATACCTTGTCCAAGGGCGACATTTTTCAAAAGCAGATGACACATTAGAGAAGAAGCCAACTGGGCAGGGCTCGCAGATGGTGTCAGAAACTCCTGTAGCTGGGAGTGGGTGGGGAGAGGAACATTAACCACCACAGTGAACCACCTGTCCAGCTCACAAGGGAGCCAGTGGCAGGACAGGTAGAGCTCCTGCCTTGAGCACTTTTCCCGCGGTGTGGTGCTGCCCCCAATAGCTGCAGTCCCCAGGAGGACTTCTCCCATTGCCCTTCAAAGACAGATGCCCATGGCTGCGGGCAGAATGAACAAGGTCCCATCTCCAGCTCAGTCCAGTGGGGATGCAGACATAGGTTGGAGCCTCCACTTCCTCTGCCTCTGGAGCTAAGTGCCCAGTGCCCAGCCCCTCACCTTGGGCCCTAAGTTCCTCTGTCCCGCCTCCAAAACTGATTTCCAGTTGATCCACTTACCGATCTGCTTGACCCCAAAGCCAGGTGAGCATGAATGGTACAGGACACAGCTCTCGCAGGCCTTGCTTGTACAGTGTCGGCCTTCTTTACAGACGCAGATGTTGTCTGTTACTGAAGTGCCCTCCTGCTGGACCCGAAGCCCTAGGTCTGAGCAGAGAAGGGCAGGAAGGATGGAAACCCCCTGCTGGGCCATGCTCTGAGCCCCACTCCCCATGTTGCTTGCCCTTTCTCCCTCAGACCCTCTTCCAAATAGAGATGGCAATCAAATCATTTAATGACCAGTACAACCCCAACTCCAACCAATCAGAACAGACCCTGGCTACATAAATTACAATGGCTGCATTGTCAGGAATATTAGCTGGAATATCAGCCCGGCTCCCAAACGCCCCTTTCCCAAAAGCCCACGCACTGGGGTCACAGTATTTGTGCTGGTGGCAGTGTGTCTCTCTGTTCCAAGTGTCTAGGAATTCGCCTTTGCCGCAAGGAAGGCATTCCGTTTCAGTGACCTCTGTGCAGTCATTCACCAGTTTCCATCCTGGAAAACATCAGGAAATGAGGGAGCGCTCTGGCCAACTCCATGAGTCAGACATTAACCACACAATGATCAGGCCAGGCTTTAGCATAGGGGATTCAAAGATGAAAGTCTTGGACCCTTTATAGTCAGGCGAGGAAGATAGAGGAGCTGGGATCCCTAGTCCAGGGTAGACAGAGGTTTACCTGGTGGAGAGGGAACCCAGAACATTCTGACAGTGAAGCAGGGCTGGGAAGTGGGTCGCTTCAGATTTGAGTTTACAGTTAACACATGGGGTCTGCGTTTGCCACCAAAGCAAGGGGGGGCTCCATGATGGAGCTAGAAGGTTGGCATCTCACCTGGTTGGCACAAAGAACAGCACTGACTGTTTATTAGGTACTGTTTTTCTCTGCATGCAGTGGGTGGTTCTGGATGGACCTGAAAACAGAATTATGCAATTTGAAGGGATCTTGAAACTCCGCTGCAGCCTCCTCAGCAGAAAGGTGAAAGTCACCCAGGAAAGAGGCTGCAAACTGAAGTGCAAGTCCAAACGGAAAGTGGAAGCTAAATAATGTTTGGCTGTTTGTTTTCAAGTAAATTGCCAGCTGAGCTGATTATAATCTCACCCAGAGAATCATTCTGATATTTTACAAAGTGATGGCACTATAAACTCACAATATTCTCTGAAGTGAACAGACTTCCTTTGGGCTTGATGCCCAAGTCATTCCTCTTCGCAAAGATCCCATAGTTCGTGGGGACCCCAGCAGCTCCCCTACAGTCTTGAAGCTGGCTGACTTCAGCTGGCCCCAGTGCTGGGCCATGTTTAGCACTTTGTCTCTTCCTCCTATTCTTCTACTTCTCTTCCTGCTTCTTTCCAAGACCCATCATGTTTTCTTCCTCCAACTCCTCTGCTCATCCAGCCCTTCCCTCATAAAATGCTAGACTGTAAAGCTGGAAGAATAAACTCCAACTCTTTCATTTTACAGAGAATTGAGACTGAGCACCAAAGAGGAGGGTCACTTGCCCAGTCTCACAGGGACAGTGACCGAATGAGAACTCAGGTCTCAATGCTCCCTCTCTCCATGAACTTGTGTTTCATCTGCACCATTTTACTACATCCAGGTACCACCCATGCTATTAATTACTTCTTGTTAATTTTATTTACTTTATTTTGTTTTGTTTTATATTTTGAGACAGGGTCTCTCTCCATCACCTACTGCAATCTCCACCTCCCAGGTTCAAGCAATTCTCCAGCCTCAGCCTCCTGAGTAGCTGGGATTACAGGTGTGCACCACCATGCCTGGCTAATTTTTGTATTTTTAGTAGAAACAGGGTTTCATTATGTTGGTCAGGCTGGTCTCGAATTCCTGACCTCAAGTGATCTAACTGCCTTGGCCTCCCAAAGTGCTAGGATTACAGGCATGAGCCACCATGCCTGGCCAATACATTTACTTTAAATGTAAACCTTACATTATCGCCAAGAGACAAAAACCAGTATCACTTCTCATAAATAAAAAGTAACCCTAAAAATAAATTTGGAAGAAACAAAACAAGGTTGTTAAACCCCAGCTGGTTGCTTTGCTTGCTGAAGGCCCTCCACCCCAGGCCTGCTCTTTATTTTTGTTTTAAAAGGAGGATTCGCAAGCCTTTGAGAGGCATTAACTCTATTCTAGCTCCAGAGACTTCCTCTTTGAAAAAAAACGAGAAGGATTTTTAAAAGAACTGTAAAGTGAGTCTGTGTTTAATTCTACGTCCATGTGCTCCTTCAAATCATCCCACCCTTTAGGAACAGCCAGGAAAAAGAACACAAGTTTGAGAGTCAGGCAGCTTTAGACTTCAGTCTTGACTTTGTAACACTAGTTATTTTGCTTCTCTTAGCCTCAGTTTCTCCATCTCTAAAACGGGAGTAATAATGCCTGCCCTGCAGGTTGGATTGTGAAGATAAGAATAGATGTATATGGCCTGGCACAGTGTCTGGAACATAGTAGGTGCTCATTAAATGGCAATTTTAATCATCATTCAATTGTATCTGCTTACATGGCCAGCACCCTGGCTACTGGGCTGGCTGCCTAGGATCCTACCTAATTGGTGGCTCTCACTCAATCTGGGTATCTCAGCAAATTACTCACAGAAACCTGACTTACCCGAAATGGGGAAGGAAGCACAAAAGGCTACTGCCCCCCACCAGCTCATCACAAGACACCATTCTGTGAATGTGGAGCTCCCCACCACACTCCTAAACATAGGAAAGTCCTTGATGCCATCTTCAAACACATGAGAAATAAAGCCCTCCTCTAAAAATCTGTCAATCCCCAGTTCTCATTCTCCTTAATTCTGGTTTTTCTGCCACAAAAGAGCTCAGGACCAGAGCTTGGAGACTCTCACTATCTGAGAGGCAGGCTCAGGAATCAGGCAGATGTAGATTCACACCCAGGTTCTCTCATTACCTAGTTATGAGAACTTTGGCAAGACAAGCCCCCTTTCTGAGCCTCAATTTGCCCATCTCTATAACGGGGGAGTTGTGAGAAATCAGACGAAGAAAACACGCAGTGTTTGACTCAGAGCCTGACACAAAAGAAGCCCTCGGTAGATAGTCCCTCCCCTTGTTGTCACAGCCCAGCCTCTACCTGGAGCCAAAGTTGGGAGTTATGAGGGTGGACTCCGCTCTTGAGAAGCCTGGATCACACCCTTCACCCCACCTTCTCTGACTCTTCCTCCACTCCTCCCACAAGGGCCCTCCTTTACCTCTTTCCAACTCCGCCCTCCCCCTCCTGCCTCTCTGCTCCCTGAGAGCCATTGCTTCAGGTGAAAGTGAAAGCTCTGGGACCAAAGTAGCCTCCCTATTCCCTCTCTTCCCTTGCTGCCGACCCCCCACACCATGGGTCATTCTCTCCCAGGCTTCAAGCGGGAATCTATACCCCTCAAAAGTAGGGGGAGGCCAGAGGGGCTGGGACAAGAGGGCCAGGTACTTCGGGGATTCCCAGCCTCCAGAATGAGGAACTACAAAAATACATTTAAACAAAAAGTGAGTCAAGTGTAGGCTTCTGAAAATCCCGGAGACATGCTTGGTTGGCTCTGAGCCCTTCTGGTGCCTGGAGAAACCAAGGGTTTCTCCAGCCTTCTGACCACCAGCCCTGGTCAGAGCTAACCAGAGCCCTGGTGTCCTAACCCTTTATTGGGTTCCATAAACTGTTCATCTCCCCCAGGGGTTCCCTATGTCATCTTAAATTCAGGAGAAAATGGCACAGCCCTGGGGATTCCTCCTAAGTTGGAACACCAAAGATAGGGGTTCGGGGAGCGGGGGGCGGGGGGCGATGTTAAAAGCTCCCTGCCTTCTCAAAAAAGTACCTGGGCCACTGCACCCATCTCTTGTTCCCACAAGATGCCCTGGAAGAAGGCAGCCCCAGCTGGCAAGGAGATGATAACCACTCGCAGAGGCTGGCATCTGTCCACAGTAAGAAAGGGACAGGAAACTGGCCAGATCCGCCCCTTCCCTTGGTCCACCTCCCTTCCCGGCCTCTAAACCCCCTACCGGTCTCTGTGTTGCCAGCCTCTGAGACTCCCTAAACCCATCCACGCCGTCTAGGCACGCTTGTGCAACCAGTGCCTTCTCTGAGCGGCCCCTTTGGACCACCCCGGACCCCAGCCCTGGAGAAGAGAGAGGCAGCCCACCCCATTCAGCCAGGAGCGTGGGCACCTTGCCCAGCTCCCACCCCTCCTGCCCCCACAAAAATCAGCCAAGATGGTCTCTTCCCCGAAGTCTTGCTTCCCTTTTCTTCTTATTCCCCACTCCCAGATCCCGTCGGGTCGGGGCAAAAACAACTCACAGAGGACAGCAAGCAGCCCCAGAGGACACACTGCAGAGGCAGACGAAACATGGCGAGGTGAGACCCGGCGGCAGGACCACTGGGCGCCGGAGCGGGGCCTAGGCTAACTCCCCTGCCCCAGCCTTGGCCCCGCCCATGAAAGGGGCGGGGTCTTCAAAGACCAATCGCAGTCCACCTATAGGGGGCCGCCCCTAGCAATTCTCTGCGCTGGGATTTACCCCAGGACCTTCCCAAGCGTCTAATTCCCCCGGGAGTTTAGGGACGCATCTTGCTGGGTAGGGGAGGAGGCATGGTCCCAGAGAGCGCCCTTCTTCTTTGTCCCCTGGACCTAAAAAGGCCAAGCTGAGGCGGGCTAGGAGCTAGCCTGCTTCCAGGGAACGGAGAGCGATCCCATGGGTGCTGGGGACTGCCATAGGGACCCTCACGGTTCTCCCCTCCCCGCCCCCCTCTCCGTTGCCTCTAAGTATCCTGGCAAAACCGAAAAAGTCTCCACTGTGGAGAGGCCTGAGGAAGTTCCCCCCACAACACCACGCAGAAAACGGGAAGCCCACAGCTGGAGTGTGGGGAGGCGTTTCAAGGAAAAGAGTTTCCCAATAGAGTTTCACTCTCTTTCAAAGGAAATTCCCTCGTGTGGGTGCGATGTCTCAACTTCCCATCCATCCATCCATCCATCCATCCATCCATGCATCCATGCATCCGTGCATCCTCACCTCATTCCCTTCCATCACAGCTCCCACCCAGCACCTGGATACAGGCATTTATTAAGAGTGGGAACAGAGAGAGGTGGCCCATGCCTGTAATCTGGCACTTTAGGAGGCCGAAGCAGGCAGATCACTTGAGGTCAGGAGTTCGAGACCAGCCTGGCCAATGGTGAAACCTCATCTCTACTAAAAATACAAAAATCAGCCGGATGTAGTAGCACTTGCCTGTAATCCCAGCTACTTGGGAGGCTGAGGCAGGAGAATTGCTTGAACTAGGGAGGGGGAGGTTGCAGTGAGCCAAGATTGTGCCACTGCACTCCAGTCTGAGAGGTAGAGCAAGACTCTGTCTCAAAAAAAAGGAGGGGAGTGGGTACAGTGGCTCACACCTGTAATCCAGCACATTGGGAGACCAAGAAAGGAGGACTGCTTGAGGTCAGGCGTTCATGACCAGCCTGGGCAACATGGTGAAACCCCATCTCTACAAAAAAAAAAGTTTTAAAAATTAGCCAGGAAGGGTGGCAAACACCTGTAATCCCAGCTACTCAGGAGGCTGAGGCAGGAGGATGGCTTGACCCCAGGAGGTTAAGGTTGCAGTGAGCCATGATTGAGCCACTACACTCCAGCCTGGGCAACAGAACAAAACCCCATCTCAAAAAAAAAATGTGCCAGCCTTTTGTGGCATCATAAAACACTTAAGGAACGTTAGGAAATGTGGGGCCCTCTTGTTTTGCAGAAACACACATACACTTGTGCCTACATTTCCCAGGTTCATGACTTCTGAAGACTTTTTTTTTTTTTTTTTTTTTTTTGAGGTGGAGTCTTGCTCTGTCACCCAGGCTGGAGTGCAGTGGCATGATCTTAGCTCACTACCACCTCTGCCTCCTGGGTTCAAGCAATTCTCCTGCCTCAGCCTACTGAGTAGCTGAGATTACGGGCAGGTGCCACCATGCCTGGCTAATTTTTGTATTTTTAGTAGAGACAGGGTTTTACCACGTTGGTCAGGCTGGTCTCAAACTCCTGACCTAGGTGATCCTGGCACCTCGGCCTCCCAAAGTGCTGAGATTACAGGTGTGAGCCACTATGCCCTTTCCTCAAGATGTTCTTGAACCCGTGTTAACACTCTGCATTGCAGCATGGAACACCTGGGTTCTGGTGCAGGCTCTGCCTCTGAAGGACTGTGTTCCCTTAGGACTAAATTTTTCTCCAAGGAAAACTTAGGAGCTTGAATTAGGCAATGGTTGGGAAGATGACCCTCCATGTTCTTAATTTCTGGAGCAAGCCAAGAGGCCAGACCTCACAGATCAGGAAGGATGGAAGGGGAGGATGCTTCTAACCCCATTCTCATGGCTTCTGCTGTTAAGGGTACATTTGCAAGTCTTAAGGATTCTGCCTCTAGGATCCATCCCCTATTTTTTGTCACCTCTGCCACTGTCCTAATTCAGAGGCTTCCATTTTTTATCTCGACTGTCCCAACAGCCTCCTTTATTCCATAGAATGTATTGAGCACCTATTATGTGCCAGGCAACTCTTTACACGGCTGCAATTCTCTTGATAAATTGTAGATCTGATTGACTGGGACACTTCCCTCCATAAAAACCTCTTTGGGTTTTCCTACACCCTCAGGATGATCCAAACTCCTTATCCTGGCAGAGCACATCCTTCCCCACACAGCCCCAACCTCTCTGTATGCCCGCTTCCTGCCATGTCCTCCCATGCACACTGGCTTCAGCCTCTCCCCACTTCCCAGACACACAATCTTTCTTCCTTACAGTTTAACTCATTGTGTCTTGCTGTTTTCTTCCTTTACTTCTCCTTTCTTAAACAGTTTAGATGTTGCCACCTCTTAACCCTTCCCCAACTCCCTGAGACAGAGGTAGGCACTCTATCCCACCCTGCCTCCTCCCCTGTGTTGCCACAGCATTTAGTATGCCAGATCATAACTCCCTCTGCCTGGTCCCATTTGACTGTAAGCTCCCTGAGGGCAGGACTGGATCTATCCCAGTCCTAGGTACATAATAGGACACCAATATATGGGTGCTGAATGAATAAATAAATGAATAAGTGGGTTCAGCAACTTCTCATCCTAAGTGCAGCCTCCATCATGAAAAAGAGTTGGGGGCAGGGGGTGCGAAGCTGGTAATGTCAACACAGACCTCAAGCTGCAGTGGCCTCTTGAGGATGGTAGTCAGATACCAAAAGGCCAAAAACTCTTGAAATCAGATTCCAGGGAACTTCATTAAAGCCACCCAAACATGCCCAGGATGAAGAGAAGATTAAAATATCTTTTCCCTTTTTAACCCACTTTGAAAAACAAGCACGGTTTTAATTCCTTTGGGAGAGGGGCGTTACTATAATAATTTCAGCCATTACTTATTCTTTATTTGCTTGATTCCAAAATTGGGCCTTTCACAAAACTGCCTGGGGAAGCAAGTACACAGAATTAAAACATTAATTATATTATATAAAACATATCATAGCAGCAATTAAAGCAGCTTAAATTAATGTGTGAAGGAATAAATGTTAGCCTTCAGGTTACCCCATAGGGCAAAGACCAGATAAGATAAAGGGAAGATATTTTAGTACATACATATCCTGAGGAGACATGTGCTGGCGGGCACAGGCCCAGAGAAGGCCTAGAATCTTGTTGAGCTGAGAAGAGTGTGCTGGAGGAGGAAAGTGAGAAGAGGATTTAAGGGAAAGTGGCAACATTCCAGGCTAATCAAAAAGGGAACAAGGAAGGGTTCTACAATAGGAATTGAGCAAAGGACATTCAAAAGAGTAGGGACCCAGGATTTCAAAAACACAGAGATGAAATGGCCATTGTAGGGAGGTGGGTTCACAGTGCCAGGTGAATAGGTGAGGAGCATGCCTAGAGGTCCAGTGTCCACAGCACTGCCAGAATCTGGCATCCAGAGTGTCCTGTCTAATATGCAAATCCAATCGTGTTGCTCCAAGATTTAAACTCCCCGGGACCCTCACTTCTTAAGTTTGCAGAGTTGCAAGGCCACGGGCCTCCTGGTCTACATCTCTAAGCATCCTTCTTGCCTTTCCCTTCATGCTCAAGCCCCACTTCCCAGATATCCCATGCTGTCACCTCTGCCTGGAGAGCTCCCCTCCCACTGCTACTCTCCTTTCTCCTGGCCAACTCTTTCTCAGGCTTCAAGGTTCATCTCGGGTGACCCTCCTCTGGAAATCTCTCTCTAACAACCAACCTCTCTCCCTGTGCTCTCCCAGAACCTGAAGCAGCTTACCCAAGCAAGACTCTAGCCCAACCACGCTGTATTTCAATTATTCTGTTTACTTGTGGAGCCAGTGTATTGAGGCAATTCAACTCCATGGGGCATAATAATGAAGATTTTCTCCCCTAATCTCTGCCTTCAGCCATGCTGTGTTGAATCTCCCTCTTCCATCTCTTAATGACATTTTGGGCAGATTGCATTACTTTCAGATCACTTTCAGTTGTTAAACCTCCATCCTTTAGAGCTTTATTCTCAAACTCAATTTAAATCTCATTTTATCTTCTCTTTTACTCATTCAAGGGTTGACTTGAGCCAAGACCCTGCCTGCTAGGAGGAAAAGGACTTGGTGGAGGTGGGGAGATGGTCTGACTGGGAGACATACCCCACCACGCCCACCCCGACCCCATGTCCATATATGATTTCTCATGGACAAATGAGTTCCTTCGGGGATTCTCCACTGCAGATTTTTGACAGGGTCATCCAGCCCAGGCTTGACCTCTGCTACCTCACCCCCACCACCTGGGGCCTGACACTGTCCTGACTCTCTTGCCCAACTCAACCTGCTTGAGTAGGCTACCAGAAAAGTATGCCAGCCAGGCTAATTTCTGCAATATCCACTTGACCCAGAGAAGCTCATGCATTCACCCAGCTGCACCACAATGCCCCTCTTCTCACCTCTCCTCTCCCTTGCTCAGATAGGCACAGCCCATTGCCCACAGTCCTCCCCCAGTCAGGGAACAGCATCCTAGCAGCCCATGCTTGCAGTCACCTCTCAATCTCCACGAGGCACCCCACCTTCAATAGGAAGGGAGGAAATTGCCTCCTGCTGTAAACACTAGACTATTCAATAAAACCAAAGACTGGCCAGACTCAGTGCCTCATGCCTGTAATCCCAGCACTTTGGGAAGCCAAGGCGGGCAGATCAAGAGGTCAGGAGATTGAGATCATCCTGGCTAACACAGTGAAACCCTATCTCTACTAAAATACAAAAAATTAGCCAGGCATGGTGGCGCGCTCCTGTAATCCTAGCTACTCGGAGGGCTGAGACAGGAGTCTCACTTGAATCACTGGGAGGCGGAGGAACTCCTTTCTCCCCAAGACTGCTGTATGGACAAGGGAGAGAAAATTGAGATTTTGGCCAGTGGGTGTAGGGCCAGTTCTGCCTCCTTTAGCAAACCTGAAGGGAAAATATCTGGCTCC